AATATAGATTAAATGCCTGTTTGCAACATTTTGTTGAGATGAATCTAAGAGTGCTCTGTTTGTTTCATTGCATTGCAGTGAAGGTGAAGAAATGTTTCCAGAGGACAATATTAATGACATTTATCACAGTCTGAAATATGAGGCTGATATTCTCTTCACAAGGTAACAAAGTGAATCTCACAAAGAAATCTTTAAAAATCAAGTAACTATATTTAGCGTAAGAAAAATGTAAGTTGTGTAAGTAACTTTCTTTTTTTTTTTTTTTTTATGAATTATATTTATTGCCGTTTGAAAAAATAACTGATTTAAACTGTAGTTAGGGCCTTCAATCTATTAAAAATGTGAATAAAATAATTTTAAAGGTCCAAAAAAGAGAAAAAGTAAAGCATTTTTTCATGCAAAATATTTTTAGATTTTAATTTTGAGGTGAAATATCAAACATGTTTTTGACAGGTTTTGTTAGATTCACCCAGAAATATTACGGTAACACTTTAAAATACGTTTTTATTTGTTAACATTAATCAACATCAACTAACAATGAAAAATACTTCTAAAGCATCTCAGTTCGTGTTAATTTTAACATTTACTCGTACATTATTAAAAGTGAGATAACATGAACTAACAATAAACAGTTGTATTTTTATCAACTAATGGTAAAAAAATAATAAGTACTGTAGCAAATGTATTACTCATTGTTAATTAAAATGTTAGCTAATGCATTAACTAATAGGACCTTATTGTAAGGTGTTACCATGGTTTTTTAATATTGAATTATTCATACTGTGAGTCGGGACATTCTCTTTTTTTCCAGAGATTCCAGTTCGTCCCATTTTGAGATCAAACCTGAGCTTTCCCAGAGCGTTCCTGTTGGGATTGGACCGCCCTTCAACCTCTCTTATCAGGTGGGCACGCCATATCCAGACCATTCTTCATAATGAATCAGAGAACCATACTACACTGTGCATTTGAACAAAATAAATATTTCTAAGATGTCTCTGCTAAAACAGAACCTGTTTGTTTTGCAGATCCAGAATCTCGGCCTTTTCCCCGTATCTGAGCTTCTCTTCACGTTAAATGTCTTCAGTGTGACCAGAAACGCAAACACTCTCTTGCACCTTTCAGACTTGGATATCGATCAGGTGATCACATATTTTTCACACTGAATTTCAGCATCAAACTACATTTCTCGCTACTCTGACTTTATTTTTCGCAATTACGAATTTATATGTCGCAACTCTGACTTTATTTTTTGCAATTCCAAGTTTAGATCTCGCAGCTCCGACTTTATTTTTGCAATTACCAATTTACATGTCGCAACTCTGACTTTATTTTTCGCAATTACCAATTTACATGTCGCAACTCTGACTTTATTTTTCGCAATTACAAGTTTATATCTCACAACTCCGACTTTATTTTTCCGCATTTACAAGTTTATATCTCACAACTCCGACTTTATTTTTCGCAATTACCAATTTACATGTCGCAACTCTGACTTTATTTTTCGCAATTACAAGTTTATATCTCGCAACTCTGCCTTTATTTTGCCAAAATTATGAGTTTTTATCTCGTAACTAATTTTCCGCAATTCCAAGTTTAGATCTCGCAGCTCCGACTTTATTTTTGCAATTACCAATTTACATGTCGCAACTCTGACTTTATTTTTCGCAATTACCAATTTACATGTCGCAACTCTGACTTTATTTTTCGCAATTACAAGTTTATATCTCACAACTCCGACTTTATTTTTCCGCATTTACAAGTTTATATCTCACAACTCCGACTTTATTTTTGCAATTACCAATTTACATGTCGCAACTCTGACTTTTTTTTTTTGCAATTACAAGTTTATATCTCGCAACTCTGCCTTTATTTTGCCAAAATTATGAGTTTTTATCTCGTAACTAATTTTCCGCAATTACAAGTTTAGATCTCGCAGCTCCGACTTTATTTTTGCATCTACCAATTTACATGTCGCAACTCTGACTTTATTTTTCGCAATTACCAATTTACATGTCGCAACTCTGACTTTATTTTTCGCAATTACAAGTTTATATCTCGCAACTCTGCCTTTATTTTGCCAAAATTATGAGTTTTTATCTCGCAACTAATTTTCCGCAATTACAAGTTTAGATCTCGCAGCTCCGACTTTATTTTTGCAATTACCAATTTACATGTCGCAACTCTGACTTTATTTTTCGCAATTACCAATTTACATGTCGCAACTCTGACTTTATTTTTCGCAATTACAAGTTTATATCTCGCAACTCTGCCTTTATTTTGCCAAAATTATGAGTTTTTATCTCGTAACTAATTTTCCGCAATTCCAAGTTTAGATCTCGCAGCTCCGACTTTATTTTTGCAATTACCAATTTACATGTCGCAACTCTGACTTTATTTTTCGCAATTACCAATTTACATGTCGCAACTCTGACTTTATTTTTCGCAATTACAAGTTTATATCTCACAACTCCGACTTTATTTTTCCGCATTTACAAGTTTATATCTCACAACTCCGACTTTATTTTTCGCAATTACCAATTTACATGTCGCAACTCTGACTTTATTTTTCGCAATTACAAGTTTATATCTCGCAACTCTGCCTTTATTTTGCCAAAATTATGAGTTTTTATCTCGTAACTAATTTTCCGCAATTCCAAGTTTAAATCTCGCAACTCTGACTTTATTTTTCGCAATTACGAATTTTATGTCACAACTCTGACTTTATTTTTCGCAATTACGAATTTATGTCGCAACTCTGACATTATTTTTTGCAATTACAAGTTTAATCCTCACAACTCCGACTTTATTTTTCCGCAATTACAAGTTTATATGTCGCAACTCCGACTTTATTTTTCGCAATTACCAATTTAAATGTCGCAACTATGACTTTATTTTTCGCAATTACAAGTTTATATCTTGCAACTCTGCCTTTTATTTTACCAAAATTATGAGTTTTTATCTCGTAACTAATTTTCCGCAATTCCGAGTTTAAATCTCGCAACTCTGACTTTATTTTCCTCAATTCCAAATGTATATTTCGCCATTCTGACTTTATTTTTTGCAATTATGAGTTTATAACTCACAATTAAGACTTTTTTTTGAGAATTGTATGGTATAAACTTGTAATAGCGAGGATAAAAGTCAGAATTGTGAGATAAAAAGAGGCAATTACCTTATTATTCTGTGGCGAAAACAAGTTTCTATATAAACTGGAAAAATAAATAAATAAATATAATTCAAAGTGAAACATTTTTGGCAGATATTTGTTCTTGTTTTAAGCATAAATTTTGACAATGTTTTTAAAAAACAATACGAATAACTTAAGTCATTTAGCTTTTTAAGTAAATGTATCTTGATTAAGAAATATTACTGAAAAACAAGACAAAAATACTGAGTAAGAAAACCATTTTTCGCAGTGGATGTTAATCTGAAAATTGTCATTATTTTAGTAAAAAAATCTTTTAACTGTTTCCAGAGCTTTTCTTTTAGCCTGTTTCATAATGCAAGTGATCTGTTTATCCAGTTTATCTGAGCTGGAATAGCACAAGTTCAATCAGTAGTTCTGTTTTAGTAAGTGGTGTTCTTGTGTAAATCCTCATCTGTTTTATCGTCGAGAAAGGCTTGTGGCGTGTGTGTAAGACCTCTGTTTGCTCGTCTCAGATGGCTGGATCACACTGCAATGTTCCACGTGTCATTACGGCCGGCTCGTCCTCGCAGGAAGACCTCTCTCTCAACCCGCACATGGTAAACTTTGCTCTTTTTACACTTCGTCCAAACTTCTGCAGAAGTTTTGCGAAAGACTAACTGCATCCATCTGCCGGGAAACAAAGCGACAGAATGCAGAAGTGACAAGCTTGATGAAAACAAAGCACCCGACCTGCTTCATCACATTCAGCTGGCTAGAGATAACGAGGCCATTCGTTCGCAGGCTATATGTGCTCCAAATTGGAAATGATTCACTCCGTCTCAGTTTTAGCAGTTTCCTCTCTGGCACATTCAATCTCCAAGTGTGACGTGATCAAAGCTGTTTTAAAAGGGACTCAATTGTGCTTTTTTGTGTGTGTAATGTTGCTGTTTGAGCATGAAAACTCATTGTAGTCTTGAGTTTCTCCCGGGAACGAACACGTCACAATATTCCTCATTAAAATAATTAATACGCAGAATTAAGGGGCGGGGCCTGGTTGAGTTAGTTAGTAGTGTGTGTTGTGGAAATTCTTTTATCAACATCTTAAACAACAGTTGAAGAACAAATGAAGATCTCGAAAGTTATAAGTGTTAGTATTTATTTCTTGCAAGAAAGGCAGTTCACACACAGACAGAGTCTGATATGAGAAGGGCAAATGTCTTCTCATTTTACAGAGTTTATATACCCAAAAGATCAACCTCCTAGGTGTACCTCCTTCTCGTCTTATCTTTGGACTAAGGCCCCTGAGTTCTATGCATCTCCACAGTCAGCACATATGTCACTTAAGAAGCAACACCTAACCAAACATGTCTTGTTCTTGATGCACTCAAAATTATCTATTGCTAAGAAAGACAGACCATTCTGTCTTTTTGTACTGTCCTATTGACCTCTTTGCAAAGCGGACACTATTGAACTATTTGCAAAGGAGATGATGATGCATCTTGCAACTTCACAAACCACTCAAGCAGATATATGTTTCAAGATATACAAAGAAAATAAATTTTCTATTACATGTGTTAAACTGGTGGTTATGGTAAGGGGGCGGGACATTTCCCAAACACACTCAAAGCACTCGACCAATCACGACACACTGATCCAGCCGACCAATCAGAGCACAGTGTGCTTTTAAGAAGGAGGGGCTTCATAGAGACAGGAAGTAAACAGAGCGTAACTGACAGACTGGGAAGAGAGGAGCCGCAACAATGGAGAATATGAGGAGAATAATCAACATTCAAGCAGGAAAACCTGCTCTAGTAGAGCCTGAAACAACACAGCCTGTTTAAAGTCATTCATATTGTGCGATTTCTGTTCACAGAACGCATCCACCAGCGATGCATTACTTGCGCAATGTAGAATAAACCTGCTTCCTCAAGGAGACGTTAGCATCACCGCAACCGGATGGCTCAATCTTCACACTTTATTAGCCGTGAGTATTTTCTGTTTAACCCGGCTGGAAACTAAACCTGATGGCACGGCTTCAACCTGTTTTGCTTGGCAGAACTTTACCGTAAAAAAATAAGGTTGCAACATTTTAAGTTTTACAGACACTATTACAGAGATCATTGCTTAAACATCAAATACATTCTTTAACTGAAATAATTGTAATATACCAAATGGTATATTATATTATTAATATATAATACTGATAGTCACCTTAAAAATCCAGATGATGAACAGAAAGTAGTCAACATAACTAGCATTTCCACAAGCTGAAGTAAATACGAATGCACATGACACTAAAATAATGCAATAAACATTCATTTAACAGCATAACACTAATATACAGGACTTTAGTTAGCCTATTTCAATGAAAAAACTTTAAAGTGTAACAAGAAATTATGAAAGTGTCAACTTATGGTTTTTCATTGAGCGTCTAAATTGGACCATCAAAATAAACCATGATTTTTATGTAGTGTAGAGCCTCTATAAAGGTTAAAAAAAATGTTAAAAACGTTGGTGCGGGACATATCGAAGTGGTCTTGACTCTTAATGAGATCTTAATTTTTGCTTTCGTCTCATTCCTCAGGTGAGATTTAAACGGTTAGATCTGGTAATGACGGGAGCCGTTGAGTTGAGCCCGTCCAGTCCAATGTTCCTCCATGAGGAAAGGCCCATGAGACACGTGAGTACGCTGTAAAACTCATGGATATGAAATGAAATGATGCATTTGAGCGCGCTTTATTACATGTGCATGTGCTTGTGCATATAGGGTTGTAATGAGAAAGAAAGAGTAGTTGTTTACAGAGTATTGTGTTTTTTTTTCCTTGAAGTGTTTGTGAAATTTGAATTTGTTTGTGAAGATAATTGCGACTTTTTATCAGAATTGCGTGTTATGAAGTCGCAATTGTGTGTTATGAAGTGAGAATTGTGAGATATAAACTTCAATGAATGCAATTCTGACTTTATAACTCAGAGTTGCGTCTTTGTGACTTTATATCACATTTCTGAGATAAAAAGTCAGAATTGCTAATGTAAACTCACAATTTAGAGAGATAAAGTCAGAATTATGAGATTTAAAGTCGTAATTACCTTTTTTCTTCTCTTTTTCTATTCTTTCTTATTCTTAAAAAAAAAAGTTCTAATATTGGGTTTTCACAGCCATTTTTTTAGCTCACCCAAAGACCCTTTCATTGAAAAGTTAATGATCTAAAGAACATCTTTTAACTATAAAGAACCTGTAATGGAATGTTAAAGGTTCTTCATGGAACCATCGATGCCGATAAAGAACCTTTATTTATAAAAGTGTAAGCACGTGGAAAATGAACAAACTCTTCTGGAGAATCACTCAAATGTCATGCTGCCCCCTTCTGGCTAAGAATGCAAATGGCATGCAAACGGTGCAAAAGAGTGCAACTTCACATCCTCACATATACGAGGCAGAAATCTTATCTCAAATCTTAAATCGTATATCCAATTCCTCTAAGAATTTGACTCTAACGTTTCGTATTCCTGTTCTGTAGATAATCCTGGAGATTAGGAAGGAGGACGAATACAGAATTCCCATCTGGGTGATTATTGGAAGTACTCTGGGAGGACTACAGCTTCTGGCCCTGCTGGTACTGGCGCTCTGGAAGGTTTGGGATGGATTTTATTCAAAGTTACCCACTGAAATGAGCCAATCCTAAATTCCATCCAATTTTTTTTCATTGAGTTTTTAGGATAGGACAATATTTGTCTGAGATGCAACTATTCTGGAAATCTGGAATCTGAGGGTGCAAAAAAATCTAAACATTGAGAACGCTTTAAAGCTGTCAATTTATATTTATAATAACAAACATGTATTTTAGGCTTTGTTAGAGGTTAAATCTCCACTAAAACAAATCACTGTTTTTCTTTCATCCTCAGCTTGGATTCTTCCACAGGCAAAGGAGAAAGAGAGAAGAGCAGGCGACCAATGAGAAGACAGCAGAGGATCGGTAACCGCACGGCAACCTCCTCAGCCAATCACTCAGGGATTCTCCAGACATGGTGTGCGTCAGCCAATCAGCTGCTCTCGAGCACTGCCACGCCCTCCTGCAGTCTGACCAATCAGCTCGCTTCGTGCTGCCAATTAAGATGAAAAGAGGTGAAGAGATGAGGCCTGAAGGCTTCAGTGTGAGGGTTTGAAATCCAGGTCAAAAGAGAAAGAGGTGGAAAGTATGGAAGCTTGTTTGTGCCAAAGAATACATTTTAAGATAAAAGTAAAAATACTTTTTTTTTCTCACATTTATGTGTTATAAAGTCAGGATTACGGGTTATACAGGTGAAACTAGAAAAATTAGAATATCGTTTAGTAATTGAACTTAAAAGGTGAAACTGCGTGTTAGTCAGAATTACTTGATATAAAGTCAGAATTGCTTGATTATAAAATTGCAATCGTGTTATAAAGTCAGAATTGCGTGATATAAAGTCAGAATTACTTGATATAATGTCAGAATTGCGTGTTATGAAGTCAGAATTGCTTGATTATATAATTGCAATCGTGTTATAGTCAGAATTGCGTGATATAAAGTCAGAATTACTTGATATAAAGTCAGAATTGCGAGTTATGAAGTCAGAATTGCTTGGAAAAAAATCGCAATCGTGTTATAAAGTCAGAATTACTTGATATAAAGTCAGAATTGCTTGATTATAAAATTTCAATCGTGTTATAAAGTCAGAATTGCGTGATATAAAGTCAGAATTACTTGATATAAAGTCAGAATTACTTGATATAAAGTCAGAATTGCTTGATTATAAAATTTCAATCGTGTTATAAAGTCAGAATTGCTTGATATAAAGTCAGAATTACTTGATGTAAAGTCAGAATTGCGAGATGTAAAGTCAGAATTGCTTGATACAAAGTCCCAATTGAGCGATAAAGTCGCAATAATCTTTTAAAATATTTTATTCTGTGGGAGAAACAAGCTTCCATAGGAACGAACTAGTCAATGAAAAAAACAAACATTAATGAATAGGCTCCAGTTTTTGGTGCTGATAAAATGTTTGTGTCATGAAACAAACCTCAGATCATGGAACCGACTTTTTTGCTGCAGCATAAATTCAAGCGGATGCACTTGCACATTGTATAGAATTTTGAACTTGAATTATGTAAATATGAAAAAGTTCAGCAATATAATGCAATACAAATATTTAACCATAAAATTATTAATATCATGCACTTTTTGTTGCCACTTACATCTTTTCATGATGTATAATTTTATATAGTTCGAGTTTTATTTCTGTTTTTTTTCATTTGAAGTTGGTAAAAGTGCTTATAAGGGTAGTTGAAATAATAAAATGGATGGGAAACACATTTTAATGCGCTACTGGCCACCAGTTTTTCACTTTTTTGCAATAATGAAGTGTTTTTTACTGTAAATGTACTTCCTTAAAAAAAATCTGTTTTATAAATATTACTATAGTGATGAATATTTTAGAAATTAAAAAAATAATAATATATAAAAGTACAATATTCCATGTATTCTCTCCATTAACATGGACAGTTAAATATCTAATAAGTAGACAAAAACAATAAAAAAAATAATAAATCACCTGATATCTCAACTACCCTTAAACACTTTGTGATCACTGTCGATTAACAGTGGCTGTGTTCAGAACGCAATACTAGTTTATTACAGTACTTAAACACACTATACTGTTGGTTATTAGTGACATAGCATGCATTATAAACCATTTCAACAGTATTGTATTAAGTATTGTCTTGGAAATATTTAAGCTTAAGTTATTTTGCATTTAAAATGTTGTAAAAAATATTAAGATGCATTGCAAGAATACTTTATTCTGTGCATTGTGCACATTTTGTCAAATGTAGGTGATCACAGTTACTGTACACTGCAGAAATAAGTGTGTGTGGTGTGTGCGGTTCTGAACAGTCACTCAATCCCAAATGTTGTCGGACAGTATTTTTCTTATGACATGGCTTTACAGATTTCACAGTATAAGACACCGTGGTGAATCAGACACCTAATCAATAGGTGTGTCTGACACGAAGACTAAAGGTGCTTGAAATTAATCAAAAAGTAATCAGTTACATTAATAAAGTAATTAAAATAGTTACATTTTAAATGTGCAACTTGTAATCTGTAGCCCTTTACATTTCCAAAGTAACCTTCCCAACACTGTTTACACGACAAGAATGTACTAAAAACAGAACGGTTTTACTTTACGTACAGATCAGATTGATCCACGAGAACGATTAAAGACGTTGTATTCTGCTGCCAGGCCAGTAGATGGGGATGTCTCTTTGTGATGAAACAGACTTAAAACGTAATACACACGATTTTCACAAATTCTCGTTTTTGTAGTTTACAATTACGATAATGGCATCTCTAGCGATTCACGATATATCGGCAACCATATCGGTATCGGCCGATGCATGTTCATTTTAATGTTATAGTTATCGGCCCGATAACAAAATTTGGCCGATATATTAAAGCTGATAAATAATGGTTCAGATGGTTTTGAAATGTGTTTGGGACGTGGATTTTAATGGTGAGACTTGTTTTCGTAATCAGGCGAAATTAGATAAAAATTTGATTTAAATTTATCGGCCGATATATCTGTCATCGGCTTTCAAATATAAAGGATTATCGGCTATCGATCAATTTTCATATCGGTGCATCCCTGGTATCAAAAACGTCCACTTTGAATCCCGTTTTCAAAAGTTTGCGTTTTCAGGCCCCCAAACCGCCAATGTCGTGTCAATGAACGGCCAAAACGCATAAAACGTTTTTAGTTGAAAACGGCCCCTAAGAGGATTTTCTTAAAAATCACGAACTTAAATACAAAAGAAGCAGAGAACATGACATGCATCTTTAATTGACGTTTTTAATCTTATTTAACTTGGTTTGGAAATAAAAACACGTTGGACAATCCCCAGTAATTAAAGAATAAAACATGATGCAAACACAGAGGGTTAAAAACCTCCACATTCAGATTCGGCCACATTCAAGCACACACACACACAGAGATAAAAGAGGGAAGATAAGCTTCTCACACACTCACACAACAGCACCTTCCAGAATAAGGCCCCGTTACTCCAAAAGAGCTCCAGCAAATGTTCATTAACACAAGTCAGAATTACAGACTTGCTAATTGGCTTTACAGTGGTGATGTGATAAAAAAAAGAGAAGCCATTAAAAAGAGTTACATTAAAAATAATAATGATAAATGTCCAACTTCTGGTTACAGGCACATTTTAATATTCAAATAAAAGAAATCGCCTGGCACAAAGTTCAGCTTTAGGATATCAACACTCAGCTATTGATTCCTTATAAAATAGACATGTTAGACTCTGTTTTAAATAAACCTTTATAAAATATGTTAAGAAAACCAAACAAATCTAAAAAGGTTGACAAAAGAGCAGCTTATAAAAAAAAGAGCTGTTCACATTGTCATGATGACTAAAGTTCAACACAATAAAAATGCTGTTCGTCAAAAAGACATTTTCTAAATAAGGGTCTTTATCTATCATCATCACCCTCTTTATTTTGATTAAAAAAAAAAAAAAAAAGAACCAGGATGAAACCGGAGACTCCAGTTACTTTGGGAAAAATTTAGCAGTCAGATTTAACATCTCCCAAATGGATCGACAAGCATATTAGGGACATATTGTAGACTTATAATCCGTGCCAAGTACGTAAACAAGCTCAAATCAAGAGTCTTCAGCATCGTTTCACAAGTTAAATCAAACTCCGAAAGCATTAAACCAGATTTGATGGGAAAATAAAAGTAGAGGTCAGTGAAATTCAACAAACTCCTCCAGGCTTTTGGGAATCTGGTCCCGATACAAGATGTGATGTTGCTGCACGGCACGAGCCGCCAGGCATTTCAGACTCATCTTCATTTGCGTCTTCAGAAGGATTTCGGAAACGCCCGTTGTGCTCTTGTCAAGAGGCGTCTTCTTTTGTTTGTTGGTCATGTCCGTATGAGCACCGGCTTCGACGAGGCTGATGATGATGGCGTGGAGGGTCAAGAAGTCGCTAATGGGACGGTTGTATTGCACTATGAGATGCAGAGGACTGTTTCCTTCATTGTCCACGGCGTTCACTTGCGCGCCACAGTCTATGAGCAGCTTGGTAACTTGCGCGTTAGGAAAACTACAAACGTCGTTGGTGTGGAAGTCGTCTACGGGCGTACCTGAGCTCGCCGCTAAGTGCAAAAGCGACGAGCCCTCGCGGGAACGTGGATCCAGGCGTATTAAGTCATAGATCTGTTTGTTTATCCGTGCTCGTTCCTCTTCGCCGCACTGCGTTTTGGTGGAGATGCAAACCAGGTAGAGGAATGTAAACACGTTAGATTCGTAGTTATCGTTGGCGGCCGGTAACTCCGCCTCCGTAGCGGTTTGCATTCGCGAGATGCTGCGTCGGATCTCAAGAACGCTCGCGCGCAAAACGTGCTCCACATCCGACGCGCGGACCGGTTCTTTCAAGTGCACCATTTGCGAGAACACTTGCGCAAACCTCAAAAGGTCTTTATGGGTGTTGCGGTTTCCTTGCTGGCGGAGGTACAACGCGTGAAGCCACAGCTTGATGCACTGATCGAACTCCATGTTGTCGGCGTAGACAGCGCCGCGGTATATAATGGGATGCGAAACGTCAATGTTATCCGAACCCAGAATTCGCTCGCGGATCATCAGGCCTTCCATGTGCAGCGCATCCCTGTCGTGTCGAATGGCCTCCAACTCTTGCAACGCCCGGCATTCGGTTCTCCCTCCGTACGCCTCAACAGGCGACAGCCACTCTTTAGCGATGATGTTCTGCGGATCACGGTAACGTTCCAGCATGGCAAGGTACAAGTAGTGGTAAGTCTTAAGAATGTCGTAATTCTCACGGTCGTTAGCGAAAGACGCTCCTAGAAGCTCTAACGCTTCAATTCGGTTGTGCGCGTCACAATCCGCGTGGGAAAGTAGCAGCTCTACCACATCCGCTTTGCAGCTTTCCGCCGCCACTTTTAGCGGTGTCATGCCGTGCCCGTTAACCACCATAGCCGCTTGGCATCGCACAAGCTCCTTAACGATGTCCAGATGCCCGGCTTCGGCGGCAAAATGCAATGCGGTGGCTCCACAGTGAGCCTTAGCGTTGGGATTAGCGCCGCGTTCGAGTAGAAAGTAAACAACATCGCTGTGGCCCTTATAGGCGGCGATCATCAAGCAAGTGTTGTCGTATTTGTTAGCGATGCTGATGTCGGCCTTGTGCTGCACAAGGTAGCGTACGATGTCCAGCCGTCCGTCGAAGCACGCAGCCCTGAGGGGGGTGGAGTTGGTGAGGGTGGTGTGGTTCACGTTAGCGCCATGGGAAACCAGCAAACGCACCACCTCGAAATGACCAGCGCCGGCTGCACACCAAAGAGCCGTGGCGCCATCGATAATATACCTGTAAGAGTGAAAGACACGTCAGCAAAGGAGTGGTGCAGGTATGACATCAATTTGTAGGCCAAAATGCAGTGAGTTAGCATATTAGCACTTCCGGTTTTGTCGTACTGAAGTCTATGGGGTTTTGGTTAAATGGCTGTGGTGAACACATACTGAAGTCACTTTCATGTTTTATTCTACGACATAAAATACATTAATATTACCCCACTCGTTTTTTTAAGCGGTTGCATATCTTGAAAAAGGCGGTTGCTTACAAGTGGGATTACAGAGGCTGTCGAAAAGATTAAATATAATCACGACCGCTTTTACTAAATTGTTATGCTTATAATTGTGCCATTATAAACTTTTCTAACTCAAACGTTCTGTAAATTGTTTAAGATAAAAACTTAAAGTGCTGTCAGAAGCTAGTGATGGTGACGTTGAATTTGTGGGAGCGTGGTGTAGTTCGTTTATAGCCTTTAGCTTTTTACTTTTAGTCTGAACACAACGACTTTTTGGGAATTTAGCTTTTTCACTGTATCCGCCAGAGTTAGATGACATACCCTTTTTTATTTCCGTGCGTGCTGTAACGCTGTCTGACACACACCGCTAGCCTAGCTTAGTAAAAAGGCTGGAAGTAAATGGCTCCAGCTAGCATACTGACAAAATAACAGTTGCTCATTATCATTTAAAGAGACATGCAGCGAAACGGGTCGCTGTGAACAGCTGTTTCGTTGAGGAATTTAACCAATGTTACAAACTTTACATGAAGACCCTAAAGAATCACTCCAACTTGTGGAAAATGTGCATCCGATGACCCGTTTAAAAATATCTTATTTTGTGTTCAACAGAAGAAAGAAACTCATACGGGTTTGGAACAACTTGAGTGTGAGTAAATAATAACATCTTTCATTTATGAATGAACTATCCCTTTAATAGTTCAAACTCACCCATCAAATCTGACAGTCCCAGTCTGCTCAGTGTCCACCTTGTAATGGTCCAAAAGTAGCCGGACCACCTTGTCATGTCCGTTCCGAGCCGCGATAATGAGAGGAGTGGATCTCTGTCCGGCCACCTGGGTCACATACTCCAACAGGTATCGGGTCTGGACGGTGGAGTGGTTCAGGAGCAGGGCTGCCAGGGTCAGGACTCTCCCCTCGCTGGCTGCTTTGTGAACATACCGGGCCAAGGACTCCAACCGGGCCAGAGCCGGTACCTCCGCCATCTGTGCAAGATTCGCCCACTGATCTCAGAGCAGATCAATCCGCCTCCCATTAAAAACACCTGCCTGAGCTCTACAGCTCATATATGACACCAGTGTAGAGTTTCAATCTGACCAAGTGCCATTGTACTGGTTATTAATATAACACGATCTGCTGATATGGATCTTATATAAAAACAAACGGATACTTTTAGTCTGACTCCGTGACGTCGCGCTGAATTGTTTTGATTAACTTTATATGAATGTTAAGGCTTGTGTATAAATCTTGTAACTGAAGTTATTATTGTAATAATCCTATATGTTATAATACATGAGTCATAGACTATTAATATTGTAATTAAAATTAGTTTCAGTTGGAATTCTCTTTCACTTCTGTGAGAAACGAGGTTACTCGCCGCATTCCTCCACTCTTGTGCTTCGGTTTGTTCTTATTTCAGTTCCGTGTCCTCCGCGATAATGTCCACTGATCACTTAGCCGAAATTAATCCAGATTTTGCTGATGAATCCGACACTGAATCCGAAATAAAGCTCAAATCTCCGCTCAATGTGCCTGTGTCTTTCACCTCTGCTGGAAACGACGCACGGAAATGAAGTCAGCAATAACAGGAAGTGCGACACTGGGATTCATGCGATGCCTTTTTCGACATAAAAGTCCCATTTGAATAAAAAAAATACCACAGGTAAAATAAAAATATATATTATATCTACCTTATTATTGTATTATATTTCTCAGGTGGAACACTTTTTAAACCATTTGTAACTATATTTTTAAACGATAATTGAACTGTTATTATTATTTTATATTTAAAAATATATCTAACTTATTATATTATTTTTTCAGATGGAACACTTTTAAAATCACTAGTAACGATATATTTTAAACTATATAATTTAACTGTTTCAATTATTTTTAGATATTTTATATTTAAATGAATATATATATATATATATATATATATATGTAATCTGAAATATTTATACATCAATGTACAATAAATAGTATTTTAATTTGTTTTTCATTTTTAATTATGTTTTATTGTGTAGATACCGTAGATTGTGTAGACTAGATTTCATGTTTAATTTATACCTATTTTTTTTTTCCATTTGGAAGGTATTAAACTGCTTTTCCAGGGACACATGGTGCTGTATATTCAACAAAAATATTAAATCCTGAACCATTTAATGCGTTTCACAAAGGGAGGGGTTTGGATTAAAGGTTTATCTCAACTATAAATGCACTGAAAACCTAATCTTTATGGGATTTTGTTTGAGTAGACAAGCTTGACATATTCATGAGCCAAACTATTTTATTTATTAATGTTTTGTTTTACCTTATGAATGAACATATATCTGAATCAATGGTCAGAGGTCATGCTGTATATTGTCAACTCAATGGGATTGAATTGAATCTTCTGGAGTCACAGCAACACCTGTGATGAGTGTCCACGAGCGGTGGAGAGATCAGAGCTTTCTTTTGTTCGACCCCTGCCGATGAGGTCAAAGGTCATTCAAATGGTCATATGACAGCAGTGTGGACGAGAAGCAAGACATCTTCATGGTGAAATGCCCCCCATCATGCGCAGGAGGCAGAACTGTGCGACGCAAGCTGCCTTCCTGACCAGGTCTGAAACTTTTATTTTGCCTTTTTTATTCTCCAGGACGGTCACAGTTTTATTTCTGACACTTGTAAGCATTTCAAATGGTTTTATGATGCATTGAAAAGTGACTATGAGTATGTGACGTTTACAGACAATTCTGATTCTTAAACATATATCTAAAAGTTTAATATTTAGTTTTTTAATAAACTGCTTAGAATCACATTCAGAATCCAAAACCGTCCGAAACCGGAGATATTGGGTTGGGATTTGAGGGAAACAAATCGGGTGAGATTAAAATGCGTTTCCCACGGCGTCCCAAACCATCATCCTGACATTTCACTTGCACTTTTAATGACGTTAAGATGAATTAGTGATTCGAACAATCCTCAATGATAAATATATTCAGCTGAAACTCATCCTCTGTGGTTTTGGTGGAGAGAAAATGCACAAATCTTGATTATATTATTGCATTGCGCACTTTGAATGTAATCGTCAATGTTAGTTGCGCATTTTTGCATGTATTGCATTGATTTTTTTTTTACTACTTTCATACTTTATCTACTAAAAGGTAATGTTTTGACAATATTTAGATATAATTTAGATTTCCACTGTAAATAAACATATCAGTAATTCACATTTTACTTGCAAAGAAAAGCCATTTTTACAGTATTTTATCGTACAATTGCTTAAATTGTCTTGTTAAATCTAATATTCAGTTTTTAAGGTGAGTTAAAAGGGAACCAATCAACAGTTTTTACTGCACTATTATTTTTTCCTCAATAACTTACCTTTTTTACATTGATATTTGTTGCAAAAGTATTTTAATTAAAGTGCAAATTTACAACTTGTTTCAGTAGTTCAGAATGGATTATTTCTAGGAGACAATATATGTATGTGTGTGTTTATATATATATATATATATATATACTTTTTACTCTATACATACTTTATTTACTGAGACAATTTGAATGAAAATGCACGTTTGACTTGTTAAATATAATTTTTTTCCTAAATAAACAGTAATTCACATTTTACTACATTTTCACTGTTTTTTATTGTACATTTGTATTGTTTTGTTAAATTTAACCAACTCGCTTCCAAGTTTTACACTCACGTTTTCCTCTGAAAATGTACAAATCTAATGTATATTATTGCAATGCACACTTTTGATGTGATCTCCGTCTTAGTTTTGTCTTTTTGTTAATATCACGGTTGCATTAGCATCCCAATGTCAACCATTGCAATAAAACTGATTTGTTCTCCAACATCTGGTCCATGGTGCAAAGTCAGCCTGAAAGTCAAACAACGCAACATCAAAACTTACATAACAAAAAAGTGACATAAGTGACATAACCAGACTGAGCCAGATGGACTTAAATAAATGAAACATAGGCCTGTTTGCCAGATGCTCCGGGAAACACACAGCAGGACCGGTATCCTTTATCACACACATATTCCTTATCCACATATTCATTAATCATCCCCGGCACACAATCAAACCAAAGATTATTCAGACACCAGATATCATTTTTCATATTTTTTTTGTGCAGGACACTATAGTTCATTTATGTAAGTGAGGAGAGCAAAATAAAGCAAACTAAAGTAAAGTAGACTGACATATTATACCCAATAATCTTCATACAGTGACTAGTAACATTTATACAAATTTGGGATCAAAAAAGTCTTCCTCCACTTTGAGCTGATGATGTTCTGCTGAAGTGTGTTTTCTGTAAGTGCTAATGCTCTTTTTACACACACAATGAACAACATGAAGCATTGCTTGGTCACTGGTTGAGATAAACTGGTATTATCTAATTGTGGAGTTAAATTTAACAGATATTCAACATAATTCATGTGTGAGAGTCGAACAGAAGGACGGACTAAACCAGTCAAATATCAACTGAGTTCTGCTCATATTTTAGTAGCCTACCATTTTATAAACTACAGCGAATAGACTGTGATAATGTGAGAAGGTGTCTGAATAAATTTTGGTTTGACTGTATGTTTGATTATCAGTTTATATTTGTCTTGATGCCATTGCCATATCTCTGCGCAGACACGGGTCGAGGGAGACGGACGGCTGTCTGAGGAAAGCTCAGTTTCACATGGACCTCTGGTGCCGTTTCACCCTCCAGAACTGGCTCCTGGACTTCGGGAGACCCGTAGTCATGGTAACAAAACAACACAGGAATGGGCTCTATGCACGGCGGTATTTCCGGTGAAGGTTAAGGATGCTCGATAACTTCCGCCGATCGTAGAGTCCACTGCAATACCGAGAATTTATATTGAATTTTGTACTCCATGGTTATACTAATGAAACGTTAGTCACAAAAACAGATAAAACAGACACCCCTCGTTGTGTTAATGCTTCTTTTTAAAATTATATTAAATAAACATAACTATATAAAATTACATCTAAACGTATGTACGTTTCGTTTCAAAGACGGGAGGACAGTAAATTTTGAAGATTCTGCCATAATCCCGTTTTCCTCGGTTTTCCTCCGCTTTAATCTTACACAAATGCGGAAATGAACGAGCATCCTACGTCAAATGCGTCACTTCTCACGTTCAGAGCGTTTACATAAAAAAAAATAAAAAATAAAAAAAAAACATCTCGGCACAAAAATCACATGTAATAAAAACGTAATTTTTACGGTAAAAAACGGCAGCTGTGCCCTTTACCATCAAGAATATGGTAGCAACACTACTGTTTTAACAGATTTAACTTAAATTTACAGTATAAACAGTATTTCATTTTGATATAATGTTAATTTATCAACTTATTGAACTATTAACATCTGTTTTGTGTCATTGTAATACACTGACAACCACCAATCACAGCAGTGATGATGAGTCACATGATCAAATCAAGCAGCTTTTCCACAATAACTAATATGTAGAAATAGAAGCTGCACAGACTCATTCGCATAAACATTAAATACTATCATAACACACATGAAAATAAAAAAATGCAATAAACATTCATTTAACAACATTAAATGTAACATAAAACCCTAATGTACATAACTGATGTAACAAGAAAACTATGAGGAAACATTTATTTCAACAAAAATACATCAAATGTAAGTGTCATGTAGGGAATTGTGGGAATGTCAATTTTTCTTGAAAAAGTTGTTCTTTTTCACTTTCAAAAACTGTACATTTAACGGTATTTTACAGTAAAATTACATATAATGTACAGTACCACAGTTATTCACTGTTTATAGTAAGGAAACTTTCTGTTAACCAATTAACAGTTTTGCACTGTACCATTTTTACAGTCTTTTACCGTAAAAATCACGATTATTCTTTACAGCATGCTTAACCTTTATTCATTTAGCTGGCACTTTTGATTTATTTTGCATTTTTAAAGAGGCAATAACAGGAAAAGCGCTAGCCATACAAAGTCTCAAACATTGTACAGAATAGTATATAATAGAATGTTTATTTTTCATTCATTTTGTAAGTAAGATTATGTTTTTTGCATGTGTTCTGAGGCTTTTTGCTCTGAGTTTCTCTAGATTGTCTGTCCTGTGGAGTGGTTCCCTTTAAACAGACCCAGTGCTGGAGACTATTTCCACATGCTGTACAACATCACCACACCATTCCTGCTGCTTAAGGTGAGGTCATAATGGAGCACGTCACTGATTGATTGACACCTCTTTGCTAAGCCCCGCCCACTTGGTTAGCCCCGCCCCTTCGAAGATTGGCCTGCGATGCATTGCACTTCCAGGATGGATGGCTCTTGTCACATACAGTATCTCACTGTGAGGCTTGCACTTTATTAAAAGTCCCCCTGTGGTGAAAATCCAGCTTTTAATGTTGTTTATGTGGTGTTTTTAATACGCTTTAAGACAAACCATATGTAAATTCATAAGTCGACAGCATTGCTGAGTATTTTCTGCTTAAAACTGCAGTGAACCAAAGACAGTCTCAAAAACACGGTGTGAAATCGCTGGTGTTTCTGACGTCACACACGACCTTGTAACCAATCAAGTCAACGTGTGATTGTTGGATCTCTGAGCTGAGTGAGTGAGTGGAGGCGGGGCTCACTCATTTAAATAATTAATTTTAGTGATAAAAGATGAGTTGTAAGGGATACAATGATTGACTATTATTGACAATTGTGATTGACTTCCAGTGTTGGAAAAATAATCTTATTTTCCCCTTTGAAATAAATTCAATCCCAAAGATATTTGTTCTTGTTTTAAGCAAAAACACTGACCCGAGAAGAGTTCAATCATATAATAACAGATTTCTTGATCCATGCAATACGTGTCATCAGTCATGTGGAATGGACGCAGTGAAATCATCCGTACAAGAAGACGCAGAAATGTCAGACAGATTTTTCCACAGATTGTAAAGGTCAGTGTTGTTTACTCTCAACAGGGTTGGGGTGATGCATCATTTCAATATCCTGCTCATAAATATCACCCTCTGAGCCCCTTTTGCTCAGTGAGCTTTAAAGTCTCCCTGCAGTCAATCACAGAATCCCTCAAAAAAAGACATTTAAATCAACACCTTTGCCTCATTTAGTATGCACGGTGCTATGAATATGCAAATGAGCCCCGCCCCCACCCACTCACTCAGCTCAGAGATCCACTGGTTGATGATCACGTGTTGATCTGATTGGTTACAAGGTCGTGTGTGACGTCAGAAACACCAGCGATTTCACACCGTGTTTTTGAGACTTCAAACGTCTTTGGTTCACTGCAGAAAATACTCAGCAATGCTGTCCACTATGAATTTACACATGGTTTGTCTTAAAGTGTATTAAAAACACCACATAGATAGATACATAAACAACATTAAAGTTTTGAACAACCTTCAGTTTTGTTTCTCCAGTCTCTTGATTTAAGAATGTTTAGATGGAAAACACAGAAAAGAGGCAGTTCATGATCGTCTGCTATTTTTTAAGTGCAATATCATTGTCACATGACCTCACTTGTTTAGTTCAGCAAGTTGCATACAATATATTTAACTATTTTGTATTTTTTCAATTCCTGTTTGTGTTAAATGTTGTCAGTAATAAATCACAGCTGTACATCATCACTCTAGACAAGTGGGATTTTTTGTATAGAACTCTTTGAATGTGATCTTCAATATTAGTTTTGCCTTCTTGTTCTGCGTCCAATTATATTTACAGGTGAAACCCGAAAAATTTGAATATGGTCCAAAAGTTCATTTATTTCAGTTATTCAACTTAAAAGATGAATCTAATATATTATATAGACTATTTACATGCAAAGTGAGATATTTCAAGCCTTTATTTGTTATAGTTTTGATGATTATGGATCACAGCTTATGAAAACCCCAAATTCAAAATTAGAATATTGTGAAAAGGTTTTCATATCTGTAAGCCATAATCATCAAAATTATAACAAATAAAGGCTTGAAATATCTCACTTTGCATGCAATGAGTCTATAATATATTAGTTTCACCCTTTAAGTTGGATTACTGAAATTATTTAAATTTTTTGAGTTTCACCTGTATATTTTCACTCTACTTACGTACTTATTTTACTAGAACTGTTTGAGTGAAAATGCATTTGATTTGTTAAATATAATTTAGTGCACTGCAGTTCGGTATGTAATATAATTTTGGTATATTATATCTCATGCAATGTTCTGTTCCAGCTCATAGAGCGAAGCCCGAAGACTCTGCCCCGCTCCGCCGTTTACCTGTGTATCATCACGTTTGTGATGGGCTCGAGCGCACACCTGATGGGAGACTCCATTAACCATCGGCTTCTGCTCAGCGGATACCAGTTACACCTGAGCGTCAGGGAAAACCCCATCATGAAGAACCTCACACCACAAACCCTGGTAGCGCTTTTAAGACTACAGTTGTACAGTATATGTGCATATCATTATGCTTTTTTAGTGATTAAAGTCCCCCTGTGGTGAAAAACCCATCTTTTAATGTTTTTTATATGACAAACCATGTGTAAATTCGGAGTATTTTCTGCTTAAAACAAAAGACAGTCTCAAAAACACGGTGTGAAATCGCTGGTGTTTCTGACGTCACAAACAACCTAATAACCAATCAGATCAACGTGTGATCGTCAACCAGTGGATCTCTGAGCTGAGGGGGTGAGTGGAGGCGAGGCTCATTTGCATATTCATAGATCTGCGCATACTAAATGAGGCAAGGGTGTCGAGTTACATTCAAGATATTGTAAAGCATGAGGACATTTTTTTTTCCGAAGAAAAAAACAGCCATTTTTGGTGATTAAAGATGAGTTTAAGGGATACAATTATTGACTACAGGGGGACTTTAACAGCTACTTAAAAAATTGCTATAGATTTATTCTAGCCATTGTGTTGCTGAGTTTTGTGCTGGTCAAACAACCGCATTGGCATTTTCTTCAGGAATTCTTACTTTTTTTCTCTGTTTTCTGACAGATTGACTCGTTTGAGTTGCTACAGTATTATGATGAAAGTCTGGGTCATTGCATGTGGTAAGCCAGAAGATATTCTGCATACATTCTGCCATGATGTAATTAACCTAATTAATAAAAAAAAAATCATTATTCAGTGGAAACATATTTGCCTCATGAGGAGTTGAAAGCAGACATGCCATTTATAATTGTATTAAAGACAAGTTATTCATTATTTTTCTACAAAAATGTATTATTTAATCTATAACCAAGCTAGCAAAATATTCTAAAAACGTTCCCGTTACGTTATGAAAATGTCATTTCTGAATGTTTTCTGAACATTTCAACAACATCCAGGTTTTCTTGGTAATACGAACGTTAAATTTGCAAACATTATATTGGAATGTTATCTGAACATTCTGAAACAAGTTGTAACATTTAAAAAAAGACTAAAATATAGTTTTGCTGATAATTTTCTCACCCCCATGTCATCCAAGATGTCCGTGTCTTTCTTTCTTCAGTCGAAAAGAAATTAAGGTTTTTGATGAAAACATTCCAGGATTTTTCTCCATATAATGGACTTCAATGGGGTCCAAACGGTTCAAGGTCCAAAAGACAGTTTCAGTGCAAACTGTTCAAAGGGCTTTAAACGATTCCAGACGATGAATAAGGGTCTTATCAAGCGAAACGATCGCTCATTGAAGTCCATTATATGGAGAAAAATCCTGGAATGTTTTCATCAAAAACCTTAATTTCTTTTCGACTGAAGAAAGAAAGACATGGACATCTTGGATGACATGGGGGTGAGTAAATTATCAGCAAAAGTTTTTTAAAAAGCGAACCACTCCTTTAAAGACCACATAACTTTGAACTTTGAGAAAACGTTCCCTGTTAGCTGAAAAATCACTTTTACACTTTAATCTTCCATTTTTACAGGAGTGTTCCTCTATTTCTCATCATGTTCCTGTATTTCACTGGCTGTTTCACTATTGTCAAATCAGAGAGGAAGATGCCCGTCTCTGCTTGGCTTCTGCTGGGTCCCAGTGGCCTTTACTACTGGTCCGTTTCGCCCGTGTAGTTCACCCAAAAATGAACATTTTGTCATCATTTACTCACCCTCATGTTGTTCCAGACCTGTATGAGTTTCTTCTGTTGAACAAAAAAGAAGATTTTCTAAAGAACCAGACAGTTGATGGCACCCATTGACTTCCATAGGATAAAAAATACTAATAAATGGGTTGTTTTATCCCAAATTTGGGTCAGATATGGACCAACCCAAACGTTGGGTTAAAAATGTAATTAACATTTTTAACCCAACTGAGTTTGTCCATATTTGACCCAAAGATGGGTTGAAACAATCCAGCATATTTTAGAGTGGGTCAATGGGTGCCGTCAACCGTCTGGTTATCAACATAATGCATAATTTGTCATGCCAATAAAGCTCATTTGCATTTAAATGAATTAATGTGTTGGTAAAAGTTCATTTTCATCAGCTGCCAGTCTAAAAATAATGCTGGGTTGTTTTAACCCAAATTTGGGTCAAATATGGACAAACCCAGCAATTGAGTTACATTTTAAATGGCATTTGTAATCCAATGTTTGGGTTTCTCCATATTTGACTCAAAATTGGGTTAAAACAACCCAGCATGAGATTGATAATGCTTAAGAAGTATGTAAAGTGTTACTAACACTTCTTCCTCCAAGAGTTTTTTATGCATGCTTTTTGTTGACTTGCATGGAACTGAAATGAATTGCCGTTTACTCCTCAGGTATCTTGTAACGGAAGGACAAATCTTCATCCCCTTCATCTTCACCTTTTTTGCCATGACGGCTACAGTCGTGCACCAGAAGCGTAAAGGTTTTCTGCCCGACAGTAACGGACTGTTCCTGCTCTACAGTTTCTCAATGTCACTCGTGTTAGTGACCGTCTGGGTCGTCTGTCTGTGGAAGGACACGGTGTTACGCAAGAAATACCCAGGAGTGATGTATATACCAGAGCCGTGGGCCCTTTACACACTTTACCTGAGAGACAAACACACAACGCTCACAGACTGAACGCACAGATCACTGTCAGGGCAGATCATGACTGGCATTTGCATCATAAACTCTTCATTAATGTCACATTGTACCTTCAAAAATTGACTTTGTGCACAGCTGGCATCCCATGAATTTATGCAAAATTAGTCAATTTCCATCAGCCAAGGTCGTGCATTCTATTCTATTCTTTTCTAAATTGTCAAGATACACTATTGTTCAAACGTTTGGGGTTAGAATGTTTTTTTATTTTTTTAAGAAATTAATATTTTTAGTCAGCAAGGACAGATCACTGACAGATAACTGATCAGAAGTGACAGTAAAGACTTTTATAATATTAAGATTTCGATTCAGATCAAGGCTGTTCTTTTCAACTTTTTATTCATCAAAGAATCCTGGAAGAGGGAAAAAATCAGACCAGCTTTTTTACTGAAGGGTTTGTTAATATAATTCGCCTGATAGTATTTTCTCTGATTTAGAGAGTGATAAAACAGATATCCAAAATAAATATCAACAAAATAAAAAATATTTTTGAAACCTGGCTTTTTCCAGGTGTTTTGATTTCTGTTCTGGAAAGTATGCAAATTTGTGCATATTTAATTATAGCCTACAATGCCTCATTTGCAGGGTTAAAAAAAAAAAAATCATAAGATTTTTAATACAAAATAATCGACTTGGGAAGTGATTTGGTTGATAACATCTGTGTTGTCGTTCTTAAGTATTATTTTGGTAAGAAATTAATAATAATACTTAAACTTAATATTTGACCTATATCCTCTATAGCGACATGCCTATATCAAGAAATTCTAACTTTGTAAATTTTCACTGTATATTTTAAACATTATTATTATTATGTTAATACTAAAGATGTTTAAATCACAGCTGAAGAACGTCAACCGTTGACGCCATGTCACGTGATACCAGTTTTCTTTCCTCAGCGCTGCTTTGTCTCATCGTTGTTGTTGGAGTCCTATCCAAACGTGACTGAATGGGATAGTATAAATTGGATTTTACCATTTTAAATTATTCTATGTTTTAGCATACAAGTGTTTTCGATCAGACATAATAGTATCTCAATCCCTAGTGAGATTTGAATGCGGTTCGTTTTCTATGCGCTCGAGCGCCGCCCAGAGGAATAAAAGTTCCTTACATTAGCAGTAAAGCAGTATTGACATGGTAAGTTTAGCTCCTGTTTTTTGAGTATTATTTCCATGTAAAAAGACGTGTTACCATATCGTTTTATCGTATAATTGATTTCTTCTGTCATTAATTGCAGGTGAAATTCCTCAGTCAAGATCAAATCAACGGTAAGTAGACCGAGGCTAAAGATTGTCTCTCTCAAGACTACAAATCCTTTCTCACAGGAACTGTTTGATTACTAATCTTATTAGTCAGATAAATTCGGTTTTATATTTTTAACACAAGCCAGAAATAGATGTTAATATAAAAATGTAGTCACTTTTACACGGACATTTTATAACAGATTTCATTAACACATAAAAATGCTTTTGTTTTGATACTGTAAGTAACGTCACAGTAGGCTACTATAAAAACAGCATACATCTTTACCATGACTTTTTTTGTAATAAATTTAACACTTATAAAAGTATTTATTTATTTATTTTTTAAAATATTACAAAAATATTTCAATTTTAAATGAATGCTGTTCATTAAAAAAATCCTCAAAAAAACGATCATGTTACACTGAAGACTTTGTGTAATGATGCTGAAAATTCAGCTTTTCATCACAGGAATAAATTACATTTTAACATTCAAATAGAAAGCCATTCTTTTCAATTGTAATAATATTTCACAATATTTAAAAAATGTGTGTGCTTTTTTATCAAATAAATTCAGGTTTAAGGAGCAGAAGAGACTTTAAAATAGTTGTATCCAAACATTTGACCGGTACTGTATATTATGTAAATGTTTATTGCAGTTATAATCTGAGTTTATTATAACTGAAGCCATTCAATAGATGTTATTCTTCCACTGCAGACAAAGTGGCATTTGTTGTGTTCATTTCACTTCAGCGGAGCGATTACTGCAGCACAAGCGCAGTGAAGTGAGAGACACAACTGAACATGGGACTCAACAAAACATGAGGATAAAAGCAAGAACATAACCGACTGATAATGAAAGATTTACACCGTAAACACGACGATATAACCTCCACCTGCTGTTATTGATAATGCTGTAATCTTGATTGCCTCTTAAACAGGTTGTCTCCGTTTATGCCAGAACAAATCCTTCATTTGAGATTAAAGAGATTATTTGTATCCAATCCTTATAAAACATAAACATTCGTATCTGGATACATTTTAAACTAGAACATCTTCTAAGGTAACTTATGTTTTTGGGCTCTGAGGTTGTGTTTTAAATGTTTGCATACTACACTTCTGTGTACAGTGATATGTTTTTGTCTTTATTCAGAGTACAAAGAGTGTTTTTCGCTGTACGACCAGAAGCGCGTCGGTAAAATGAAGACGCAGGATCTGCTGACGGTCATGAGATCTCTGGGCCGATGTCCGACCCTGCCAGAACTCGACAGACACTTACTGATCCATAAAATCGGTATAGTACCTACAGTCAAACCAAAATTGATTCAGACACCTTCAATATGTCTCACATTATCACAGTTTATTGGCTAAAGTTTAGAAAATGGTCATTAAATGACAAGAGTTATCAAATCAGATGATATTTGACTGGTTTTGTCCGTCCTTCTGTTCGACTCTCACACGTGAATTATGTTGAATATCTGTTAAATTTAACTCCACAGTTAGATAATACCAGTTTAGCTCAACCAGTGACCAAGCAATGCTTCATGTTGTTCAGTCTGTGTGTAAAAAGAGCATTAGCAATTACAGAAAACACACTTTCGCAAAACATTATCAGCTCAAAGTGTCATTTTTGGTCTTAAATTTGTATACATTTTTACTGGTAGTGACTGTATGAAGGATTTTGGATATAATTTGTCACAGTTTACTTTATTTTGCTCTCCTCACTTGCATAAATGAACTATAGTGTCCTGCACACACTAGTAAAAAAATGTCAAAATATCTGAATTATCTTTGGTTTGACAGTGTATCCGCTGGTCTGTTGGGTTGCAAGCTACAAAATAATGATTGTTTCCAAATGGGGTTCATAAACTCCTCCCCTTCTGCTCCCCATCTGTCAATCAAACGGACAATCCCGCCCCAATCTCGCTCTAAAGTGCAGCTTTTTCAGTTTAGAGCAGTTATAATCGCTACAAGCGTCATTACAAGCAAAAAAGTATTTGAAAACCAGACTGGCTTTAATGAGGGAAAGAACTACAATCCCAATGATCTGATGGAAACATAAAGATGTATATAAAGACATATATTTTATGTTTATTTGCAAAATATGCATAAATTGACCAATAGTGGATGGATGCTAAAGAGGTTTTGAGTCAAGGTGGCTCTTTGAAAACGTTCACTGACGCCTCTGAGCATTAAACCGAGAGACTGGAAGTATTTGAACATCCAAACAAATGACAGTGTTAAGTTATCAGATTGAAGCCTTCCTAAATGTCCAATGCCCAGGTAAAGTCAACAGTGTAAACTTTGCTTACTAAGTAAAATACACTGGAAATCAGTAGGAGTACGTGTTTAAAACTCAACAATAACAATCGCAGACTTGAGGCCCAGTACATCCACATAAGGACAGTGAACGCAGAAAGATGGTTTATAGAGTCACACAGACGAAAAACAGCTCATCCAGACTGATTTTTATTGGAAAGGAGAGACATATGAACTGACATAACATGATGAAATGCTTGAAAAATGTGTTGAAATGTACTAAATATAAACCTGGCGGAATGAATTTGACTCTCAGCCTGTCAGACGTGATCAAGCGGCTTCCGCATCCGAAGCTTTTTGGCAAAGTGTTTGACTCTGTCTGTCCTAGATAAGAGCGGCGAGTTGGACTTCTCCACGTTTCTCAGCGTGATGCACGCGCAGATCCGGCGGGAACACCCTCGGGATGAGATCCTGCGGGCCGTGAGGCTGATGGACACGGAGAAGCGAGGCTTCATCACGGTGCCGGAGCTCAGGGTCAGACTGACGGGCTTTGGAGAACGACTCACAGATCAAGAAGGTGTGATGCGTTCAAGTCCTAATCAGTTGACAACTTAACTTTGCAAAAATAAACTTCATGCCTAATTGAAAATATTAAGTTATGTGGACTTGGCAGCTTGGCATAGCTTTATTATGTCCATTTTTTTAGTTGATTTTTTCAAAGTTATGTTGAAATACACTTTTTTAAGTTATGTCAACTGATCACTTTTTTAAAGTGTGGGAAGCTCGTATTTACGATTTAGTGTTAATCAGAGTGGTCCAAGACTCTAGGACTTTTGTCACACTTTTGAACCATTTACCAAAACTACCAAAAAAAAAGATTTTATAATGTCTACGTGTGTATCTGAATGCACACTGAAGAAACTGACTTAAGGACCCAGCGAAACAGCTCCTCTCCCATATAGAGATATAAGCCCATCTAGAGTCATGAAATATCATCTTATGTTATTATTTTCCCTCAAGAGGTCAGTAAAGACACCCGATTTAAGATATTTTGAGCTCAATTAAAAGGTTTATGCATGAAATTGTGAGTTATTTTGAATAGGAATGAGGAATGTGCTTTAAGGGATAGTTCACCCAAAAAAGAGTCAGTATTTACTCAACCCCGTAAGACCTTCATTCATCTTCGGAACACAAATTAAGATATTTTTTTGATGAAATCTGAGAGCTGGATCACTCCTCCATACTAGTCCATAGGCTTCTTGAGGGATTGAAACTTGCAAAAACGCAAAAACAAAATAACAACTTTATTTTGACTATTCATTTCCTTCTCTGTGGGCCTCGAGTGAGTTCACTAGCGTAACAGCTTAAGCTTCTGTTATTGTACGTCACACGCATCACACACATGACCAGCGTCGGCCAATAGTGAGCCTACGTGTGACGTAGCTCTATGCTATCACACTACATTAACTGACTAGAAGCACAAAGAGAAGGACATGAATAATTGAAATAAAGTCATTATTTACGTTTGTTTTTGCGCACAAAAAGTATTCTCGTCGCTTGATAAACTTAAAGGAGTAGCACACTTTAAAAAAAAACTTTTGCTGATAATTTTCTCACCCCCATGTCATCCAAGATGTCCATGTCTTTCTTTCTTCAGTTGAAAAGAAATTAAGGTTTTTGATGAAAACATTCCAGGATTTTTCTCTATATAATGGACTTCAATGGGAACCAAACGGTTCAAGGTCAAAAAGAGAGTTTCAGTGCAAACTGTTCAAAGGGCTTTAAACAACACCAGACGATGAATAAGGGTCTTAAACATACACAACAACTGACAGACATGCAGTATAGAGCTAAAAAAATGCAGGTACCCATACGCCATACTATATAAAGTAATTGATGTAATAATTATTTTCTGTGCGTTCAACTCTTAAACACGAACTTTCCCACATGACTTGAACACACCAATAAATATGATTCAAACAAAACACACAGAAGAGGTAAACTACATTACCCACAATGCATCACATATTGGATATTCCTACTTTATGTCTCTGACTTACAACAACAATAGTGGAACTTTGATACATTTTATTTGGGTAAACTAAAATATATCACCATACTTTCCCCAGTAGATTAATCACATTACACTAATTGTTTTATGTGATTATCCGGCATTACCAAATTAAATATGGACTAATTTGCGTGCAATTCCAGAAGAAAAATCTGAACATTTGATATAGGCAGGTTCGAAAATCTAGTTTTAATTTTGTCGAAATTATTAGAGTTAAAGATAAGTAGAAAAAAAAAAGAAAATTCTAAGTTTTTTTTTTTTGGAACAACATAAATTAAGAAATTGATAAATAAACAAGCCGCCTCTGACAATAAACTCTTTTTGAGAATATCGCCTTTAAAGAAATGTGTAATGAAAATAAATAAATGTGTATTTTAGATGTTTTAGATGTGAAAAAAGACAGAAATTCTTGAAAATGAGTAGAGCATAAAAAACAAAACAAGTAGGAAACAAGTTGCTAATTCTGACTTTTTATGTCAAATGCATCCATCTGCAGTCCAGAAACAATCCAGAACATATCAGCATAAGGACTTGTGTTGAATATAATGCGGATGTTTATGTCGCAGTCGAGGAGCTGCTGGGTGAAGCCGGCGTGGCGTGTGATCAGATCCATTACGAGGACTTCGCCAAGATGGTGGCGTTTCTGACGGTCGATGCCGAACAAACTTCAGACCAGCAATAAATCAGCCTCTAAATCTTTCCAAAACAGCGAAAAATGAAATACTTCCACAACCCTGGCCATATTTAACTGATAAAGCACCTGCCAAACCCATTCAATCATTAACTAACTGTGGGATTGTTTTGAAAGTGACCAGATGTGTCCATGTGAGTTGTTTTCAGAAACTTAAGATTTCAGATTATTAGTGATATTTTAAATTGTGATCATAGTGCCCTCTTGAGTTTATAGAGAATATTTGATGCATCACGTTTCACACAACAGAATTTTTTTTTTTTTTTGCCTCAAGCGTCTGCTTTAAAAACAATCAACGTGTGTGTCCCTCTCTCTCTGTTAAACAGTTTATTATAACCTATATAAAAAGCAAGAACTGAAAGTTTTGTCTTTGGTAAAGCTCATAAATCCCCCTGTTGTGGTGTTAATGTGTTTGTGTTGAGATAATAAACTAAAGCTTCAGTCCAGCACAGTCGATCTGCTGTCAAATGTTAATTAGATGGAATAACAGTAAAAGTTAACTTTGTAATTGTGTTTATGAGGAAAACAAACATTGCTATGATAAGACAGGACTTTATTACGTCCTTCAAATGGACAACACCGTAACACTGTTTACATTCATTTCCGATCGGACCATCAGCTTCACATGGTTAAGGTCACTGACACAGCTTTATTACACTTCAAATCAGCAATACATTTTAATTATTTCAGAATTTCCAGGCAATAAACTCAAACAGAAAAAAAGGAGGTTGGAAAACAAGAAATGGATAATGTAAGCTGCTGCTTTAACATCTGCTTCATGCACAGTATGATCACAGAGATTGTTTTTTAAAGAAACACAATTTTACTCCAATTGTGAGTAAATGTGGGAAAAAGGGGTTTGTCAAATATTTATAATAAATCATATATATAGTTGTATCTTAATACAATTATTAAGATGTACAAGCAATTAAAGTAATTCAATTTACAGCTTTTTAGTGTATTTTATGTTTTAAGTAGGCCTATTGGTGCAATAACATTTTACTCGAACAATAATACATAATTTTAAGATATAACAACAATACATGTGTGTGTGTATATATATATATTCCATATATATATATATTAAAGCTATTTTTCAGGAGATTCCTATATTCAATTTATTATAAATTAAGAATTTTAAATAAGAAAAAAATGTCTAAAGCTTAATAAAACATTTAATCTTAAGTATAAATCTTAATGGAATGAGGGAATGGAATATTTGATGTGATTCATATACTAAATTTCAAAATATGAAAATATGTTTAAGTTGAGAGTAATAAAAAAATAAAATCATTAAGCTCTAGGTTTTTTTTACTTGTTTAAAATTTTTATTGAAATGCAAAAATCTTGAAAAAGGACACACACATAAGTGTACATATATATATATAAGATTTGTTGTATCTTAATACAATTAATAATTATTTTGGTTACACTTTATTTTAGGTGTCTGTGTTACAGTGTAATTATACTCAGTAATAATAATAACTGCATGTAGTCTAATTACTACAGGATTAGGTTTTGTTTAGGGCTATTTGCATGTAATAATGCAAAATTTATACTTATTTCTATAGCAACATGCCGGTATGTAACAAAGACACTGTAAAATAAAGCGTTACCATTATTTTATATGATATTAAGCAATTGATTTATTTTTGTAACGCAACAATATCTTGCTCCAAACATTAGTAAAAGTGGAAATTATATATGCAAATAAATAAATAAATGCAGTGCAGTGCAGCATAAGCCCAATGTTTTATTTCGATACTGAGTACATCCAGGTGTGCTTCACGCGCGCCTTTACGCGGAATAAAACCATAAGCGTTAAAAAGCGGACATATGTTTTAGTCTTGACACAACAATGATATAATAATAAAAAAGAGATTTCCTCCAGTCTACCTCAGTCCAGTGCAGTCTGTGGACGGGAGCACGTCTGTTTGCCCGTTCACCACCGATAACCGGTAATCCTCGGTCTCCATCACGTTCAGCGGAATCCCGGCCTGACTGTCGCGCGCCTTCGCGGTTCCGGAGAACGGGCGGATCTGACAGCTATTGGCGATCGCGGGAGACGAGATCCTCCAGAAGAAGTCCTTCAACATCTTCCTGAACTCCCTGCGCATGAGGCAGTACAGCACCGGGTTCAGGCAGCTGTTCGAGTGCGCCAGGCAGATGGTGACCGGGAACACGTACGTGTGGAGCGCGTAGTAGAACTTATCCCAATGGACTACGTTAAACTTCACCAGGACTCCCCAGAAAGTGATGGCGTGGTTGGGAAGCCAGCAGATGAAGAACGACAGGACTACGATCGTGACGGATTTGGTGACTTTAGACCTGCGTTTGGGGAGGTTGTTGTTCATGCTGCGTTGGCGGATGAGGCGGAGCAGGAGAATGTAACAGATGATGGTGATGAGCATCGGGATCACGAACGCAACTAAGATCTTCTGGAGGTGATAGAGAGCGTGTCCACGCTGGCCGTTCGGAAAACGCGTTAGGCACAGTTTAACACCGTTGATTGTGTTCACCCCGGTGAATATCCCCGTGGGCACTGAGGCCACCGTAGCCAGGAGCCACAGGAGCGCGCTCACAAGTTTAACCGAGCAACGCGTGTTGCGCGTCCGGTCCTTAAGCGCGGACGCAACGGACCAGTACCGCGTGACGCTCATAGCAGTCAGAAAAAACGCGCTCGCGTACACGTTCATCACGGTCACCGTGACCACCACTTTACACATTGCGTGTCCGAAGGGCCAGGTGAAGTCCAGCGCGGTGTCCACCGCCCAGAAGGGCAGCGTGAGGACGAACTGGAAGTCCGTGACCGCAAGGTTCATGATGAAGTAGTTAATTGTGGATTTCTTCCTGCCCTGGCGGACTCTCATGAGGAAGAAAACTAGAAGGTTTCCCACTAGACCCACCGCACACACCACCGAGTACACGATTGAGATCATGACGCGGAGCCCGAGGGTCCCATCCGCGGACACGTCGATGTCCTCCAGGTTGCTGATTCGGTTAAGCTCGGAACCGGAGCCGTTAAATGAGCTCTGGTTCAGGTATTCCGCCATCACGTCCTGCTCGGCGTCAGGTGCCCGGTCTAGCCGGGGGATGTGGAGGGCTTGCATCACTATAACGGCTGAGGAGGAGTGTGCGCAACTATCACACACACCGGAGACTCCCGCGCCATGACGGAGCTCTCACGGTGCGCTGTGCCGCTGCTGGACTGGTGCTGATGCGCGCGCGGGCTTATGAAACCTGCGCCACCTCGAAGTTACGCCCACATTGGACGGAGTCAATATGAACCACGCCCCCTTCGCACCAGGTTTGACTTATTTTACTTTAAATATGTGAGTTTAGTTTGATTGGGACACTTTTTTCCCCCCAGTCATCTCAATGACGTGTTCCAATCAACCTTAATTGTGCAATTTTAAACTTAATTTTAATTTGTTATACCTGCCCAGGGACTACAGGTGGAAATTAGCAAATGTTGCTATGTTGCTTCTCTTGTTTTAACAAGTTTAATGTTTATTGTGCATTGTCCCTGTTTCAAATAAATAATTTCCATCCATCCATCCATCCAATTCACCCCGAAATACAGTCAAAGCTAACTTTATTCAGACACTTTCTCACATTACAATGCTATTGTTTAGAAAATGTTGATTATTGCAAGAGCATTTTTCTCTCCTCACTTACATAAATGAACTATAGTGTCCTGCACACCCTTGATATCTGGTGTCTGAATAATCTTTGCTTTGACTGTCTGGTGTGACTCAGAAACACAATGGTAGCGCTTTAGATTACAGCCCAGAATGTACTGAGTAATTAAAGCACTTTTACAGCGTAACCTTCTGTAATTATAGTGTACCAATGAATAAAAAATGTATATATAATATTTGTAATACTAACAGGCGCTAGCGCAGACTGATGCGCCCGTGCTGTCAGATCACTTGGACGTGGCTGTGGTTACAAGAGGTAAAAACGATATAAATACTGTTCGTTTTCTCACACAAACCACTCTTTTCGTGTCTTAGGCCATCAATGTGTACTTACATTTACGAGTCATTAAATCATGTTTAATTTGGACTTCTCTGTGCATGCTCTTTGAGGTGGTGACCATAGACCTCCATTATATGACTGACAGACAACACCGGTTTGACCGAAAAATATGAAAATTGAAAATACTGCGGAAACAAAGACACCTACATCTTGGATGCCCTTGAGGTAAGATAAAACACACCAAATATTAATTTCAAAGGGAACTATCCCTTTAAGTTTAATCATCACATTGTACAGTATACTGTAAATAACTGAAAAAAAACATTACAGTAATAGAACTAAAAATTGGAAATGAAAGAATAAATCACTTCTTTTTATATAGTTGTTTTTATTAAATATGAATATAATAATTTTTGCCCAAACCGACAATTATTGAATCACAGAAATATGAAGGACCAAAAAGATAGACAGACAGTCAGACAGACAGACAGACAGACAGACAGACAGACAGACAGACAGACAGACAGACAGACAGACAGATAGATAGATAGATAGATAGATAGATAGATAGATAGAGCATAAAAACATGCAAAATAGAAACTAAATCCATGAGAGGGAGAGAGAAAAGAGAGACAGAGAGAAGAGAGAGAGGTTTGTTTTAACTATTTAGGTGCATTAAAGTTTGAGTCTCGCATCTGTGCCGCACAGACTGCGCAAATGAAACACAACTTTGACCTCAGCTGACTTCACACACACTCCAATGTCTAATCATTAATCTGTACAGCACTCACACTGTGTCTCACACACACACTGAGAATGAAACGTTATAAAACTCATCCTTAAAACTACATTCCTTTTCCTGGTTTGAACTCTATTTGTCTGCAGTGGAAAGGGCCATAAACCGCCTGTGCCTTTAAATGTTTAACTTTAGCCAATCTAATTCAACTCTGCAAACTTGTAAATGTCAGGTGTGTGGTCGTGATCGTTTTAAGGAACGGCTTTAAATAAACTACATGTCCTCGACAAGAAAAAAATCAACCAAAACATCTGAGCAGAGGAAAACACACACACACACACACACACACACACACACACACTGTTCCTTCTTATCACAGCTGTCACTTAACAGTGGAAAGAGAAAATTATGTCTTGAAACAGATCAAAGTACAGATCAACACATACAAATGTGTTTAAAACTAGTTGAGCATCAAAAAATAATGTGCCTCACGGATAATTAAAAAAATGTAATCAGTAAAATTCCATAAAATTGAATAATCCGTGCATTAGGCTATTTAATTTAATAGACTGAACAATCCTTAATCAATTATTCAATTAAATACTACACTCTCAGAAAAAAAGGTACAAAAGCTGTCACTGGGGCTGTACCTTTTCAAAAGGTAAACTTTTGTCCATTTTAGGTACTAATATGTAAATTTGAGGTGCTAATATGTACATTTTATGTGATAAGATGTACATTTTAGGTGCTAATATGTACATTTTAAGTGCAAATGTCCATTTTATGAGCTAATAATGTCCATTTTAGGTGTTAATATGTCCATTTTAGGTGCTAATATGGACATTTCATGAGCTAATATGTCAATTTTACGTGGTAATATGTCAACTTTAGGTGTCAATATGTACATTTTAGGTGATAATATGTGCATTTTAGGTGCTAAAATGTCAATTTCATGAGCTAATATGCACATTTCAGGTGCTAATATGTACCACTAAGGTACCAATATGTAGCCTTTGGATACAAAAGTGTACCTTTTGAAAAGATACAGCCCCAGTGACAGCTTTTGTACCTTTTTTTCTAA